GGGGGGTCCCCCGGCGCAGCTGCGCAGGCAATGCCGGCCGCAGCCTGCGCGCAGACATTTAAATGAGAAGTCGGTGGTGGGAGAGGAGGAGTCCCAGCTCCTTGGAGAGCTTTTATCTTTTGCCCAGCCCTCTGGAAGGCGGCTTTGGGGAGGGATTTTTTAATTTTGGTTGGTTTGGGTTTTTTTTTCCTTCACTTCCTTTCATTTTTGGCGATTCATTTTCCTGGGGTCACGTGGGAGTAGGTGGGAGATTCACCGCTGTCCGGAGAGACCAATGTGGGAACCTTCCTACCCCTAAAAAGCCTTGGGCTTTTGGCAGCACAATCCCAGCCTGTACTGGGTGGACGGGGGGAGACTCTATCCCCTCCGGTCCATGCCACCCTGTCTGAAAAAAACCCCAGAGCCCACAAGGTGCAAATTTCTCCCCCAAAACGGCGTCGGGCAGGTGATGCAGGGCCAGCGCCCCAGGCAAGGCTGCAGCCAAAAGCGCGGCCAGCAGTCCCAGCCCCAACAGTTCGGAGACCCTCGAGGTTACGCTGTTCCAATGGGAGAGGCAGCGGTGGGAAAACTCCCTGCACGCAGCGAGCTCCACTGGGTTTCTGCAGCCGCAAAGCATGTTACTTCGATGTCCTGAACAATCGAAACGAGCTCCCATCCCCCCGTCCCCAAAGCCTTCCTGCAAGGCAAGCGCCGGAATAGAAAGCGAAGGGCTGGGATGAAATGCCAAAAAATTGTGTTGCAAACCAGGGGTTTCGTCAGCACGGGACAGCCGGAGCTGGACCCTCGGACGTGCCTCACTGCCAGTCTGTCTGCACCCCTCGCCAGCCCGAAAGCCACTGCGCTGGGAGGGCGCAGCCCACGGGGTGCAGGCATGTGGGGGAGGGAAGCACCCTGCACCTCAGTCCCAAATCCTGAGAGGTGCTGCTGCCAGAGCCTGGAGACACCCCAATGTTGTTGGTGCCTCCCTGCCAGAGCCAAACGGGGCATCCATGTCTGGGGATGCTCTGCACCAGGTAGGGCTGCACGGAGTTCTCCTTCCCTGCAAAGCCTCTCTTTGGGCAGCCCCCAAATTAGGGCTCTACCAGGATCATGCCTAAGTGGAGCTTAAGCAGAGCTTGACCTCTCTGCAGGGAGAGCTGCTGGTCCCTGTGTCAGGGACGGGGCACGGCCACTGCCCAAACCCGGGGATCCCAGATGGCGGCCACTGGTGCAAACTGTCCCATCTCCCCCGAGAGGCTTGGCCCCTCATCCTGCTCCCTGCAGCCTCAGGGACGCCTGCCAGTGCCGGGGTGGGAGCAGCCATCGCACCAGTACCCCACGCCATGTCTGCTGGTGGGGGGAGTGGGGAGGGCGCCCCAGGCCCCTCCGGCAGAGCGGTTGGGGTGCTGGAAGGGAGGCGGGTGCGGAGCAGAGCATGGCTGCTGGCAGGGCCCTGCCTCCCGGCAGGTTGGCATGGGGCGAGGCAGCAGAAATGAGAATCGGAGCCGCCGCGTTTCCCAGGGCCGCACACATGTGTCAAGTTAAGTGTGGCTTTGGGAGCTGGCAGCACCGCCCTGAGCGGGGGACTCGCACCAGCGGCCAGGTTTTGGGAAGCCTCCCACTGACGCCAGCCCCAGCTCTGCAGGGTCCAGGCATGCGGCTCCTCCCAGGGAAGAGAAGTCCAGCTGGGGACCCCGGGGCGGATGGATTTCCCAAAGGGGATGAAGACACCTTTGAGCACTTCCTTGGCCAAAAAGCCATTCAGCAGGGGTATCTCCAGACCCCAGGGGGCAGCCGCCAGTGTCCCCTCCAGAAGGGGGGGATCCGGGAACGCCCAGGCGGGAGGTGGAGGAACCGAAGCCCCTGTGGATAAGCACAGAGGACGCGCCAGGCAGCAACGCAGCCCAGCACCACAGGCGCAGCCATGTGCTGTTAACAAATGGGGACAGCCCCAAAGCCTGAGGCTGAAACCGGACTTGTGGTGAGGATGGGGACATTGATGGTCCCTCAAGGATTTTCTCCATCCTTGGGTTGGGCACCCTGGTGCTCTTCTCCCTCCCAGGCAGACCTGCCTGGGGAACCAAGCTGCAACAGGGGCCCATTGCTGCCTGCCATCATGTTGGGCCCAGGACCTGTTCCACAGCCCAACGGCAGTGGGAAGCAGTCACAAAATTGTTCCTGAACACACATACACACATTCCTACGCTCACAAGCAAGCGCGCGAGGATAAAATAAAAGAAGAGACAAACAGCGAGGCATTTGCCTTAATTTGCACGGGTCGTAAATAAAACCATGTGGCAGCTCCAACCCAAACGATCCCTGGATTTCCACCAAAAGAGGTTTGGCCATCCCTGGGCTAGAAAAGGTTGAGAAACCTGTGGGTAGACAGTGTATTTCCAACAGAGGTTCTGTGCAGGGGACAGCACAAGGAGGGCACCTAATCAACACCGGGGCAGGCTGGGCCCAGCACGCAGGGTAATGTTCCTGCTCTTCCAAGACTGTAACTCATTCCTTATTATTTGCAGACCCAAAGTCATGTTTCAGGGCTCATTACGCCCTATTCATTTCAGCCTTTATTCCTGACATCTGCAAGAGCTTTCTCCCCTAAAACGCAGCACGCGCATGGCCACCAGCCATGGCAAAGCTTCGAGGGACGCTGTGCACAAGGCACAGAGAAATACAGCAGTGCCCGTCCCGTGGGTGCCCCCAGCCTGGGCTCCGGCCAGTGCCGGGCAAGCGCTGGCAGGACCAGGGAAGCCAGCTGAGCCCCACTGGCCACCAGGCAGGTCGTGGCCACAGACACATCCACAGGGACAGAGCTGGAGGTGAGCAATGGGCAAGGTGGGGGTCAGCCCTTTGGGATGGGTCTTGAAGGGGATGGGGAACATTGTTGTCACCCCCGGCGGCAGACGGACAGTTCAGGTCGGGCACTGGGAACACCGCCTTCCCTGGGATGGTGGGAGGGAGAGGGATGGGGTCTCCATCCCCAGCAGTTCCCAAGGTTCCTCCCTCTGCCCTTCCTTCCAGGCTGAAAATCTTC